GCAACCTGCGTTTCTTGTCACGTATTCGGAGCTTAAATATGATTCCACGGATCAGCTGGTGTAAGTACATATTTGATTGTATTGCAACAAGTAAGAAATGTTTGGAATAGACACAACTATCTGTCTTTCTATGCAGGCCCCTTGACATGTTTGACTGTAAGTTATTTTGTCATAACACATTTCAATAAAAGAGGTTTAATATTAGCGCAAAAAAAAACCAACTAATCTAATAATCCTTTACAGTTGCTATATGTCCATAATACCAAGTGTGAACACATCCAGATCTCCAAAGATACACATCCTATGAAGGCTTGGACAATGGACCTGTTGCGGAAAAGGCAAGAGGTGGATATTAGACGTGTTGGATTTGGATACGCCGAAATAAAACATATATCCACCATCCAGGATCGAGCATGCGAGAAAGGTGTTGAAGTGGGTAGCGCATCAGAAAACGTGGCGGAAGCAAGTGCAAGATATCAAGCCGAATATGGCCGTATCACTAAGGAGGTAACTTGTAAACTGTTATAATTATGTTTCAGTTTTGAGTGATATTCACGTGAGCTATTATACTTTCGTATAGGGGATGTGTGTGTATATTGTCTATCACAAACCACGTTCACAACATTTTTTTGATTTAGAACGTGCACGATTCAAAAATCTGAGAATCTTAAAACCATCATATAACTAGTATGAAAAGTATATGTTTTTTATGTAAGTAGTAAATAACTGTTTTATATGGGCTGATAACGTTTAGGGAATGGACATTAGCAAGTATACATTGTCTGATAACATCTTTGTATATGGGCTGTGTGTGTATATAAATATACAAATAACTCCAATACTATTGTTAACATTTCATACCTGTTAGCTATGGGAACTTTTAAAATATATATATACATGCTATTGTCTATTCCATAAATGTTTTTGTATGGGAATTGTGTATCAATAAACATGGTTCATATCTTTATCTTTCGTGCAATTTGAATATGCTGGGTTAACGTTATCGTGACATTATATGATAAAAATTAGACTTAGTATCCATGGTTATGACATCCCACAATCCAAGATCGAGCATGCGAGAAAGGTGTTGAAGTGGGTAACGCATCAAAAAACGTGGCGGAAGCAAGTGCAAGATATCAAGCCGAAGATGACAGTATCACTAAGGAGGTAACTTGTAAACTGTTATAATTATGTTTCTGTTTTGAGTGATATTAACGTGAGCTATTGAACTTTCATATATGGGATGTGTGTATATTGTCTATCACAAACCACGTTCATCACATTCTTCTGAGTTAGAACGTGCAAAATTCAAAAACCTGAGAATCTTAAAACCCATCATGTAGCTAGTATGAACAATGTATGTTTATTATGTAAGTAGTAAATAACTGATTTCTTCCTGTTGTATACTGTGTATTATATTTACATAGTATGAACAATATATGTTCATTATTATGTATTGAATATAAAAATGGACTGCTGTGTTATATAGCGAGTATGAACAGTAGCTGTTCATTACATGATCATCGTTATTTCTGTCCTAGTGTTCATTATATGGTGTGGAGGTAGCATGAAAAGCAACTGTTCGTTATGTATACTAAAAATAAAAACAGCAGGTACTATATGAACAGATAACATCAATATGTGTTATATAACGAGTATGAACAGTAACTGTTCATTACATGCTCATCGTTATTTCTGTCATAGTGTTCATTATATGGAGTGGAGGTAGCATGAGAAGCTACTGTTCATTATGTATACTAAAAATAGAAGGAGCAGGTACTATATGAACAGATAACGTCAATATGTAATGCTTCCTGTTGATAACTAAAATCAACATGAACAGCTACTAGAATGAACATCTAATGTAAAAAAGAAATGCATACATATCTGTGTTATATAACGAGTATGAACAGTAGTTGTTCAGTACATGATCATCGTTATTTCTGTCCTAGGATGATGTATGTCTTGTACTTAATGTCAATTAAAAGCTTTACATATTTTATGGACTGCATTTCTACATTAAATAAGAAAAAAAAGGGCACCTGTTTTCCTTAAATTCTTATGTAACCTAATTGGCCACTAAGACCATAGATGATTTGGTTATCATGTGGTATTTGCTGTGAAGATGAATTGTTTCATTCCGTTATATGAAGCAATTACAAATTCTTGCGTAGTTTCAATCGACTGCATGATCTCTTGGTTTTGCTTAGAGCAGTTGAATACACTATCCACATTCTATGTGTGTGTGTCTATGCATTATAAACTTCACACAAAATAAGGGTAATTTTAATAATAACTTTGTATACGTCAGTTAATAACATTTTTAAGTTATGTGAAACCTGTAAAATGAAATATGTATATTTTTTTATGTATATTGTGCTACCTTCTACTTCATATATATGTTTTAATACACATTGCATATGTTGTTTTTATTATCGTATTTTGGTTGTTTTTGCCAAGGAATGCATGAGAGTGATGCGGAAAAAAGTTGATGATCTTTATTCGGGAAGAGTGGAGGCGGACTTGATGATGGATTCTTTCATTGAACGTTTCCCTGGTGATGCTGATTTTGATGAATTCAAGATAAAATTATCTTCTTTGTTTAAAGGTAGCAAGTGGGATGCACCCCCTGATACGAGCCAAGTCCACGACCTCCCTATTATTGAGGTAACACCTCCTAAGATGTCAACCATTCCTGAACCAGATTTGCTCTCACCCTTGTCTCAATTCTGGACAAGCCCTTCGGTGATTGTGGAGGTTGATAGGGCATCCAATGAGAAATCAATACAGATAGCAAAGGAAAATAGGAGATTTACACGCTCTGTCGAAAGGGAGACGATCGAGATTCCGTCATTACAAGTACAGAGGGAGAAAGTTGGGATATTACGGAGTAGAAGTGGTGATCAGAATGAGTTTCGAAAAAGTAAGATATGTAAACGAGCGGAAAGCAGTGACAAAACAATTGATTTGTATGGAGGTATCGAGCCACCATCATTTGATTTGGGGATTAGTCCATCGGGTTCACTTGTAGTTGCTATCGTCAATGCAGGAGGCTGCGCGGCCGACGTTGTCGAAGAGGGATCCGAAGTTGAGTTTCAAGCTACGTTCACCTTATGTTACGCGTACTGTTACATTCGACGTAACAAGTGATGAGCGGAAGTTACATGATTGGATTCTGAGGGGGATTGGCGGAATACTGTAAGTTGTAATTTAACGTTTCTTATTTAATTTAAAGTATTCTTTTATGTGAATATATGGGTTATGTGTTTTCAATTATTTAATGTTTTAATGTTAATACCCAGGGAACCTGTTTTCGTGACCACAAACGGAAGAACAATAACACGGCAGGCGTTGCAATCTCTTGTATCCTAGTCCGTAGTATGCCGAGATATGTTGGACGGGTGGTCGACGGTACTAAACCGAGATGAAAGATTGTGGAACAATCAATCCCCCAAACGCTATTTCTTTACGACAAGCGTTTCGGTAACATCATTCAACATACACCTTTTTTTGTCATACCATTATATAATATCCATTGTCTTCAATACAACTTATGGATTTGTTATGGGTGCAGATGGATCTGACTATAAGGGACCAGACTTTGGACATTCACCGGAGATATGAGACTTTAAAAAACAACCTGTCAAGTTGCACAAACAATGATAGGGAGCTCGTTAGTATGCGCAACGTTGACATGGTACGTATATAACATTTGTTGGTAATATTATCGTAAAATAAATTAAAGGTACATTGAAATAATAAACGCTAGCTTACGTATTTATAATTTCAGGTATTCTTCCCGGTTGTGGAAGAATAATTCTACTACATTGTTGTGTTTGATCTAAAACGACCCTCAATCGTTATCATTGACTCAAAGGATCGCGATGGCAATGTTGATGATATATACGGTTCTAGTCCGGTAATTTTAGTAAGTTACCAGTATTAGTTATCGCATTCTACATGTTTCATGAGTACCATATTTATCTTGTCAAATTTATGATCGATTCAGCAAGACATGGTGATACTTCACCTTTTGAGAGAGGGCCACGATGCGGGGAAGGTTTATGCTGAGATGGATCAGGAGCGAATAAGGACAAGGTGGTAGTCAAATGAGAGCTCAGTTGATTTGGGTGTAATGATGATGCGACATATGGAGACTTATTTTGGAGCCGATGGAGGGAAATGTGAATGAGGTCTTTACAAAGAGAGTACTAAACAAAAAAAAACAGCTGAAGGATCTACGAACAAAGTATTGTTCGAAGATCCTACTGAGTGACGAAAACATCCAAAAGACATCAATCATAAAGGAAGTGGAAAGATTCATTGCGATGGAGACGTCATTTAATTTGAATAAGACACGTGGGGATACCCGAATTGGTCGGGGGAAGATGTAGACGGCATATGTATATGGATTTCTCAATGCTTTTTGAATCTTTCGTATTTACCTTATTTATAGTATACTAGTTGATGTTTCTGATAGTGTCTTCGGTGTTATCGCTACATCGCGTACATCTTATGGTGTTTTTGTTTTTTTTTTTTTGGTATCTCAAAGTATGATAAACATTATTTCTACGTTTTAGTTACTCGGTGGAATGATATATGAATAGTTGGAATCAGGTTAATAATAGGGACTAACTTGATTATTTAGCATTGCACTTACTTAAAGTGATCCTGCTTATTTTTTTGTATTTCATGAACTGCAGAGGTTCCTTGGTACCATGCTTTTTTTTTTTGGCTTTTTGCATGTGTACTACTACCTAATTGTTCTCGTACGCTGCATTTGTTACATGGAATTTATTGGACAGCGCAAAAACTTTTCATTCCATGTATATAACTATTATATGATTTATAGATACGTTAGACAAGTTTTAGGGGCATTCTGATCATTTTAACAGTTTTGTCCCTGGATTGTCCAAATTACCAAACACTGTACCTACAATTTGTTTAGTCGTGTCTTAGTTGAACCAAACACCATACAAACAATCATCGGGATCCTGGCGTCAAGTCCGTGAAATTGCATGATGAAGTTGCAGTGGAACTGCAGTAGCGCAACACTGCTGTACGGGTCTCCACGTTGCATACGAAATTGCCTAAAGAAAAACTTTATAACTTCCAGGTACTAATCCAACTTGATCGCATACATAATGCAATTTATGATAGACCAATACGTAATGCCTAACCTTAATAATGCACAGTTTAGTGTTTATGCTACGAAATAAAGCATTGATAGTTTGTTGTTGCAATGGATAGCTGTTGTGATAATATATAATTAGGCCATGACACAAAATTCTCCCTCAAGTGGAATTTCCATTTCTAGATCATATGACATCTACAGCATAGCTTTTTGCAACATTCAAATGAGGATGTTGTTTGTTAACTAATCCAAATCTAGAGATTCCTGCATCATGCATTCTACAATGAACATAGGCTACTTTTCTCCATGAAAATGAAGGCATTATCAACAACAACAATTGCTATATACAATAAATATTAAAATTCAATTTTCATATGTTTAACCAACTCTAATAATAAGATAAGGACCATCAAAAACCTTTAAGTTCCTAACAAGATAATGTTTGTGACAAGTAGATGATAATCGTATCAAAAAACATACGCCTAAAATGTCGAACGAACAATACGTCAGCAAATTATAACGAAACGATAACACTCCTAACTACTTGAATGTAACTAATCTACCAATTCTGGGCAATTATGTGAGTCATGTCCACTACGTTGTCCACATGTTGCACATCTTCGTTTTGATTTTTTGCAATTAGTCTGGATTTTTTCAGATACACTTACCAGTCTTTTACCAGTCCCGCATCTCTTGTTCCTAATGCCAGAAGGTAGTAGAATATCCACCTCATCCGGTATTGAAACACCTAGATGCTCCCTAATTGCATCCATCCTCTGTTGAGATGGGTCTTCATATGGAACTTTCTTCTCTATATCAACCATAAATGTGTCGAGATTTCTCTCCAATCTAGCCAATATAGACTTATCATTCCGGGCGATGCTTATGATCTCGTCAACCTTCGAATATACATCAATAATGCACTTTTCTTTTTTGGCATCAACCTCGCCGTAACGAACCCTTGCAGATTGTATCTGTACTGGAACTAACTGTCGTTTCCATCGTCGTAACACATATCTATCCGGTATGAATTCAACTTCATCGTTTATCAATACCTTGAACGCGTGACGACAAAGATAACCATTACGCGTGAATAGGTTGCACTCGCATTCGACGGTATCTGTTGAGTAATTACGGTTTACCTAGATTACAAAGGTTTGCAAACAACCACAATCAAACAAAAACTTCGAAAACATAAAAAAAATTGTTGTGCGAATTAGGGATATGATACCAGATATGTGAGGTTCTCAGATGATTTCTTCATCTTGTGGCTTATCACGAATGTCTTTAAGACATCCCGACATTCGACATTCTCTATAGCACAGCACCATACAGCCTTCTTTATCTCCTTTTGTATGTCAAAAAACACATTCTGACTGTATATTCTTGATGCATAACTTTCTAAACGCAACGGAGTAACAAATTTTGGATTAGTTGTTCTCGTTACTGTTTCATGAACAGATTGTCTGTATCTTGGCTTCTCTATAGCTACGTCGTAATTATTAAGGAATTGAACCATTTCAAATCAGTACGATTCATATATATTAATATACGAATTCGAACTCTCTGATCTTGAGGTTGTTTTCATTAGACCAGACATTGGAGTGTCCTTGTAAAAGGCAGGAATCCACGAGTGTCGAATTGCATACATATATGTGAACCAAGTATCACCCCCCAGATTGTATTGCTCGATCATATCATGCCAACGACGCTCAAACTCCGCTGGTCCAATATGTATGTTCCGTACGAGCTTGTTGATTACTTTATTAAAATTAGGATCTTGATTTAGTGCGACACTGACCTGCGTGTATATGGCAACCACTAATGAAGCAAATTAAACATAAACATCATTTAAAAATACATAGCATTACATACATACAACTTACCTTTGAAGGCACTTTCTTCATAATGTGCCATATACAGAGTCTGTGTTTGACTTCCGTAAACACCATCGGGATAGCTTGCTTCATTGCAGAACATTGGTCTATAATGACAAAAACTGGTTGCTTCTCATGACATTTTATGAAAGCCTTTAAAACCCATGTAAAGTTCTCGATTACTCGTCACTGATTAGAGCGGACCCGACGACAACGGAAGCCTTGTGTTGTCAACGGCCAAAAAAGGTACGAAAATCATGGCATGCCTGCAACATAAATCAACGAATTAGTTGTACCTATTTCTTCCCACGTCATGATTCCATAAAAATAGAAACGCGTAATAATCTTTAAAAACTCTATGGCACTGTGAATATTACTTGTTCGTGCGAAACGTCCCGTCAAACGATATGACATCACCAAATTCTTTGTAGTTAATCCTAGCGACTTCATCTGCCTAAAAAATTGCGATCAACTCATGTTCATTACACTTGTATTCGAATAAATAACCTGGTACAACGTCACGTCTATTTGATAGTTTATTGATCAACATCTTTGCGTCCTTGTTCCCAACACAAGCAACAACATCCCTCTTAAAATTCTTGAAATCAATTTCTGAAACTCGAGTATGCTCAAACCCCCCGTTCAATGCCGTTTGAATACGATGTGCCCTTCTCGCACCGACTTTGTAACTCGAGCTGTTGAGTACAGTCTTGAAATTCGTATACTTCATCTGTCTATTTTTCCTAGAGAAACGACGATCGTTAACGTTAAACAACGCATGGTTATGTTCCTCAACAAACTCGTATATCTCGTAACAACCCCCATCTTTCGTCAAGTGGATTTTTAGACATGCATTACAACCACAACGTTTTAGGTTCGTATTGCGATATCTCCTCTCACCGGGCTGAATATCCAAAGAATTAAATTGCCTTTTGTTTGGGTTACCCTCTCTACTACAGACAAACCATCTATTTTGAATGTTTCCGTGTTTGTTTGTTTTTTTTGCATGTACATGAACATCAAATCCGGCCTTGTCCGCGTAATCTCTGTACATCCTTTCAGCATCGTTTAAAGTTGCATATTGTGCATTCGTCTTTGGCTTAAGCGCGACATCCACAATTGGGATAAAATACTTGCTTCCTTCTAAGGTCTCGCCAATATCATATTCAAAATCGGTATGTGGAGGGGTGAGATCATCAAAACCTACTTGTAAAGATGTAGTTAGTCTTGAAAACTAAAGTTACTATTACACAAACTACAGAATTAAAAAAATAGAACAGTGATGCAAGGTTCCATCTTAATTTTGGTGGGCAAGTAAGTTGGCATCCCCATGACACAATCACAGTAGGTAGTGAATATCAATGAATAGAGTGAACAAAATGTTGAATAATCGTAAATATTATATATCATGGATTTCCATCGTTTATAAAATATGAATGCTTTTTTCAGCTATTAAAAATATTTACAGTTAAAGTGTCATGTCTCTTACATATATTAGCTATTACATGAAACAGTTGTATTGTGACAGCGTGCATACATCTTACACATCAACCTCTGTATGAGATATATCGGGTTCGTTTTGCTTTGTTGGGCTGTCATCTTTTGGAACTATTTAGAGCATGCAGGGAAAAATAACGTCAATTGATTGGACCTTCAACGGAGAGTGAGATGAAATGTTCCAAGTCAAAAATCCTCGACATAGATCAATTTTAACTAATATTAGTAACCACTTTTCATAGTTGTCGACAACCGGGGTGTAGTGAACATAATGGACAGTTGCTATGTGTTCATATGAGTAGCTGTTCATTTGGAATCTGGTACTAGTAGATAATGCAAGTACTTAGGAATCTGGTACTATTAGATGTTGCAAGTAGTAGTATATTTAAAGTGGTGATCTATGTGAAACCCAAACGAGTTGGAAGTGTGTAGGATGGTGATGATCATGATGATGATGGTGAGGATTTTAGACTATCTAATGAACATTAGGTGTTCAATGTCGCCTTTAAAACTATCAAATGAACATTAGGTGTTCAATGTTGTCTTTGATCTGTATAATAAACAATATCTGGTAATACAAGTGATTTATCTCCCAGACACATTCACAATGTGGGCGGATAAGTGGCACACACGCAACACTGCCCGATAAACCGATTACAAGTCTGGTTCCGTATGACATAAAAACAGAGTTAAAATAGAACTTATATTGATTATACTTGTGTCCCTGAATTTTGGAGTTAAATCCCACCGACTACGGCAATGTAATACGGTGTGTGTAAACAAGACCGATATCACATTGATTCAAATTTGTACATATATGGAAAGTAGTTGTTCATTCATATATCTTCATTTTGTTTTACTGTATGCAGAAGCAATATGTTCAAATGAGTTGCTGTTCATGTTGATTTTAGACTATTATGTAACAAACAGTAGCTGTTCATGTTTTCTTAAGTATGTAAAATGAACAACAGTTGTTTAAAGGAGTTATATATCTCCCAGACCCAATCACAACATGGCCGGTTAGGTGACACACACGCAGCACTTCCCGATAAAATGATTACAGGTCTGATTCTTTATGACATAAAAACAGAGTGAAAGAATAAGTTATATTATTTATACTTGTGTCATTGAATATTGGATTTAACTCCCACCGTCCTTGATTTGATCGTGTGTGCAGCAGAAAAACATATGAATTTTCCGGGCATATCAAACACTAAAATATACGGACGATGTTCAACATGTCAACAATAGTCATTGCAGCCAGAATAGCAGAAAATTCTCGAAGGTAACAGCTGTTCATTTAAATGGAAGGAAAGAATAATATTGAGCACATACCAATATGAACGGTTTGATCATTTTCTTCACTTTCGGAATTCGAATTCTGAATGTATTCGTAGACGCTTTTAGCTTTTTCGTTATTATTGTCGTCGCTCTGTTTTACTGTATAATTATTCATATTACTCGAACTATAATGGTATCTTTACAAAAGAGACGATATTCAAAATTATACTATCAAAACCATTTTATAAAGAACATATGTAAAAATGATTAAGATGAACAATTGTGAACCTTGATGTCATTATTAAATGAATATCAATTAGTATAATTTTAAGATTTGTAACTCCCATTTAAAAGATAAGGATATTTGGGAGTTACAAACCATATGCATATGTTCATATGCTGAGGTTCATATGTCTACATATTTTAGGCCGAAAATGCACATATAGGACAAAAAACCGCATTCAAAATTGAGACAAGGGTGCATACATTATACTTTAATGTGTTGGGTTGTTCACGTGGGTATGCATTTCTTCATATAGCTTGTGG